GGAGTCAATAGAAAAGAGACAAATTGTTTTTAGTAAAATTTTTTTAATTTTTAAATTAAAATATCTCAACAACTATTTAATTAAATTTGCTAAAAAATTTTTTATTTTAATCTTGAAATTATATAGAATTAAAATAAAAAAAAATTTTATTAAATTTAATAAGATAATTGCCAAGATATTTAAGATTAAAGTCAAGAAAATTTTTATTTGGAAAAAATTTGTCCCTTTTCTATTGACTCACCCCCATATATTTAGACCTGAGATTTTGTCTACCTCCCCCCTACCCTACAATATCAGCTGATATCTGACACTTCCCTTATTGGATTTTATTAAAGAGTATACCCTTTCAGATAAAGGATATTTGGGTACGACCGATAGTATTGTAAGCTACATGACTTTAGACAGCTGGCTAAGCCAGCTGACTAAACATCGGCTAAGTGGCTGGCTAATACCTGACTAATAGTCTATTTTTCGAAATACTTTGGAAAATTTCTCAAAGTATTTTATATTTATTCATTTTCCTCTTCGTAATTCTACTATTCATGAATTATGTGACCCTTAGCCGCATTAGCCAGCTGACCATATGGGCTAGGTGCTGAGAAAAGGGACCAAATTGACAAAACAAAAGTCAGAAAATCAATTTTTATATTGTAAATCTTATAATAAATTATAAGAAAATACAAATTTTAAAGAGCAATATAGCAAAATTTTATCAATACAACTACTTTTGTGTCTTAAATAAGAAATAATCCTAATCTTATTCTAAATCAATTTATGTAAAAAATAGCTTTTGAAAAAATTGTCAATTTGGTCCCTTTCCCAGCACCTAGCCCATATTATTTCGGCTGGCTTAGTCGGCTAAGCCGGCTTAGCCACGGCTGTCCCAGTCAGCTTACAACACTACCCGGAAGCATGCCTGTATGATTTCAGTACTTGTTTAACGTAAATTATAGATGCCCCATATATAATTGTTTATAAAACTTAAAAAAAAAAAAGGATTTTTTCGCTTTATAATAGAAAGCCAATGCAATTTTACATCAGAAAAAAATACTTTGTAAAAAACCCGGAAGTTTTTTTGTGGGTCGTTTTTATCAGCACGATCACATATAAAATGATAAAATCAAAACAATTTTTAACACGTATATTCGATATTATAAAAAAAAAAATGCAAGCCATATACGTAAAACTATTCATATTTGTCTGTTATAATTTGTAGTTGCCAAATCTTCTTGCATTGGTATGCATGTGCAAAGATTTCAAAAATATTTTAGACAAAAGTATCAATCCGTCAGCATAAGAAGTTTGGAGAAATTCTAGAATTAAGTTTACAGTTTTTTAAGATAGGGAACCACTGTCAGGAATGAATCAACAAACTTTTGCAAGGCTATTAACATTTGAGAAGGGTTGTCAATTTTGTAAAACTATAGAGAAAATGTTGACAATCTATTGGATTCCTGGCGTTCGCTCTTGTCAAGACTGTATGTTCCCACGAATTTTTAGGTAAATTATTTACTATTTTACACACACATATATATTTTTATGATTTTGAATCTGAATAAAATTTTATTAGTAATATTTAATAGTTCTGATATACTTGGATCAACTTTTATGATCGATAATGAAGTTCTTGGACTTATTGTACCAGTAACACCAAGCATAGGTTTATCAGAATCTTCACATTATTGGATCGATTATGTTAAGGATACTGTCACGTTAATATGCAGCCCGTGTTAAATAGCTTAAGAGAAAATGTCGAAACTAAATATAAAGAAGCTCAAGATTATGAAAACTGGATGGTTAATTTATCTTTTAGGACTTTTTTTAAGAATTCACACTGAAATTAATGATGAAACTTTATTCAAAATGCGAGGAGATTATGAACACAAAAAAATTGGAGCACGAAAAATTAAACGTGATCCTTTTTAGTACAGGATACTATGGAATATGAATATTATGAATCAAGAATTTTACAAGTCGCCCAAAGAATTAATATAAACCTCACACAAGCACTCCTACATGGTTTCATCAGAGAATGAATTTGTAGATACAATAACTAAAAAACAAAAAATAAATATTAACCATCTGAAGAAATTAATATATAGGTCAAAGAAAAAATCACAGCATCAAGTTCTAGGCATTCGACACATACTATTTTTTTATCAGATTGGAAGCTATGTTGATAATCCCAAATAGGGATGGGTTCGACTACAAATGGCTACGATCATTCATAGCCAATTTGTTAAATACTGAGATGATTTTTTGTTCTTGAGCTTTTAATTAAAGTTGTTCAGAATTAAATTCTGGTCATCCCATATTATAAGTAGAAAGAACGATACCTTCTCTGGAACTCGAAATTTTAAGATTTGTTAATGTCGTAGCTGGCTAATAGTCGGCTATGACGTTACAAATTTTAAAATTCTGAGTTCCAAAGAAGGTATCGTTCTTTCTACTTATAATATAGGATGACTAGAATTTAATTCTGAACAACTTTAATTAAAAGCTCAAGAGCAAAAAATCATCTCAGTATTTAACAAATTGGCTATGAATGATCGTAGCTATTCGTAGTCGAACCCATCCCTAATCCCAAATTTAATAGACTAGGATAATAGGTGCTGTTAATATATATGCCTATATGTCCAAGCTTCATAAATCCACCGGGCTGGAATCAATGTCGAAATTTACCCAAGACGAACCTTTTACCAACACTCATAGAAGAAGCTAAAAAACTTGAGGCAGCTGGGACAGTCCCTCCACCATATTTCCTTAAAATAGACATGCTGGTAGCCTTCGAAATGAACCTGTATTTGAATGTCATCTTTGGATTGAAAATTTATTAGAAATAGCTTTATAATTTTAATAATAAAGTTACTGCAATATACTTGATTATGTTTGATTATATGGGCTGCCGTCAATAGAAATAAGGCAAATTGACATTTTAAAAAAAATTAATACCTTAACTTCCACAGCTCA